ACTAGAATGAATAGAATGGGCTGTCCAGAAGCTAGAATAAGGTATATGGGCTTAACATAATAACCGACACCGTAAACGATGCACTTTATCCTTAACCTGACCATTTTTCGGTTTATTAATTCGGAACCTGAAGAGAATTTATCAAAAAGAATATTCTTCCTTTAAATATTAGTCTTTTATTATGATGGGGATATTTATACGATTAAAATTGTAATATTTGCTTGAACAACATGGGACAACTCCATGTAATGTCTTGGTGACGTATTTCGTCACGAATCAGTATCAACTAGAAAATCACTGAAAGGTGCAAAACTCTGGACAACTACTCGGTTTTAATTGAGAATGTCTTAGCAGCGTAGATCTAGGATTTCATTTGACACTGAAGTCCTTATTGTAATCTATTTTCCACCAATACAATCTTTTAAAGTGGTAAAACGACTATTCAGTCCTTCTAGATTTTGAATGGCTGTCTAACGTAGATCGGTTTGCAATATTAATCAAATTCAACAATCTCCACCGTCATATTCTGACTATTCTTTTTCGACCGCATATTGTTGCTATGTTCCCATTTTAAAGCAGACAAATCATAGCATCTAGCTAAATTTGTAATCCATACCATAAATTTTCTGGATCTCATCAATGTATTCAGCGCTCTTAGATGAATAAGTCATTCGAATAGTAATAAAAACCATTCTTTGATCGATTCCGGTTCGCGTTAGTTGGCCGTTGTAGATAGAGACAACACTCCCTTTTCAACTATAGTTACTTCTTAGGCCGACAAAGTATCAAGGAAATAAATGACACACCTTTACAGTGGTAATTTTTATGATTTATCTACTGTAATTCTTAAAATCTATGTCAAATCCTCAGGGAAATAACTGTATCTCAAATAAATGTCCTAACCTATTCTTTTAAGAGTCTACTAAAAATTCGACCTATAGTTTCATGAATATCTATATATCTATTTATTTTCAGTACAATTTTATGAAATTTTTAAATTTGATCTTGTTAAACAATGGTAAGTAATTACTCGAAAACTACTCAATGTTCTTGCTTTCATGTGCTTAGTCAATCAGTTTCAATTCTCGAAAAACATTGTATATCGTTACAAACTTTTTTATTCCTTTTACTTTGAATGTATACAAGGTTAGTCTTATTTTAAAATTCAGAATTCTGGAAAATTCACTCTTAAAATGATCGTTGTTTGATAGGTATTCATGTTAAACTTAATCTACAAGACAGATACTCAAAATGTTACAAGATATTCAATCACGATAGAGTTAATTTGTTATTCAAGTTAGAAAGGCAGTAAGACATATTAAAAGCAACATAATAATTTATATCTCATACTTTCAAGAGAAGTGATGTCAATCATCTGTATTTTCATGAAAATAACCGATCACATAATTATTGAAGTTATAATTCTTAGATTGGTATGAATACCACCACAAAATCCATTTCATATCTTTTAGTTACCTATCTTATATTCGTTTTCATTATATAATTTCTACTCTGTTGGTTCAAAGGTAATATATACATAAAATAAACGAACTACTCTATGAGTTGCCGTATTACCTAGAAATTTAGAAATTGTCAATCATATTTACAACCAATGTGTTGCACACGGTTTAACAGGAATGACTATTTATGGTAAATCGGTTTCACTACAAATTATAAGTAGGAATAACTAAATTCTAAACACTAATAAATCAATACTAATTATTATCACGAAATCTAGCTAATCCTTCAGTACAATGTTACGAGCATACTAATCATTAAGCTTTGTTGTAGTAAGTTATGTTTATAAACGTTTTGTTAAGTGACCTAATGAGGACACTGAATGAATTGTAAACTTTTAAAAATTAAGAGAGAATAACAAGTCAGGTTTTTATGGTGATAGTAACCATCGATATTTCTTAACTTATTGTTCTGACTGAAAATAAAGCTAACTAATAATATTGCTAAATAGGGCTTATGGAAACTATTGAATTTTATGGGTTCCATCAAGAACTGATCTTATTTAAGCAACCATCGAAAACCAGGAAGCTGTGCACAGCTATTTTGTTCTAATATAAGATCTTGTCGAGTACGAAGTAGTTGCCTAGCAATTGTAATAAAAGATGATTATCCGATACCGTGATTTGGATAAAGTTAAATGTACAAAACATTGGATATTATCTAAGTGGTATCAAAGTTAACGGCTCCCCGATTGACATGAATGTCTTAGACTCGGTTTCCATTGGAATTGTGAATACGCACTGCTGTAAAGTTCCTTTCTAGAAAGAAACAGACACCCACTGTCCTCTAGTTTTCAATTGTTGTTCAACTAAGATCAATTTCTGATGTTTACCAAAATCGTTGCAAGAACTTGTTCTAAACAGTTTTTGACATCTCATCCCTTTTAGGCATTCATAAAACAATAATATAATTTATCCATTTCTTTCCACGAGTTTTTTCTCGCTTAAAGATCCTCATTGAATAAAGAAATACCTGAAATTACAATTATTCACAAGAAATAAGCTATCCAAAATATTGGGTATTTAATATGGAAGGAGCTGGAAAGGATTGCCCATGACAGGGTTGGATGGAGAATGGCGAGCGGCCTATGCTCCTTCACGAGGAGTAACAGGCGTAAGTAAATAAGTAATATGGATCAAAATATTTTAAACGATAGTATTTTATTTTTGTATCTAGTCTCAATAAAAGTAGTTCGGTCAAGTTCATTACCACAGTGATACGTACTGCTAAGTTTACTTGTATTGCCATTCTTCTCGTTGCAATTATTTTGTGTATTACTGCAATTAGTAGAAAATGATGGGCTAAGCATTTTGAAATGCTCACTAAACAATTTGTTTGAGTGAATACATTCAAACTGTTAATAGATCATCAAGTTCTAAAGCTCACCAACAAATACCATTATATATTCAAATAAAAGCTTTTATATGCAATATACAATATATATTTTTAAAGCAGAATGACCCATTGTGTAGCATTAAAATGTATTAAGCCATTATTAAGATATCTCAATTCTTACAAAGCAGTTGTGACAGCTACATGCTAAGCAAAATCCCTGAATAAATCTAATGAAATTATTTGACTATATAAAGTAAAACCAAAACATTGTACATAAAGAAATTCATTTGAAATAGGATGCTGCTCCGCGTCACTGATTCCACTTGATCAATTTTCTAATCAAAATTTTACGTGAATTTTAGCATAACATACAGGATAGGCTATTGATATCGATTTACTAGTAGTATACAATATCTAGATTCATTCTTTGATTAAAATATTCATACTGAGTTATGATTAACTCAACCTAATATACTCTAATCCATTCCAAAAATTACTAGGCTCCAGTATTAGTCTACATACGGAGATACCGGGCTAATTTTCAGGTATGATAAATATCTACATGTAACGTAATCGATTTCCCTACATTTTCATCATACCTTCGGAAATCTATTATCACGGGAAAGCATAATGAAATTAATGTTAAATAGTATGCTTATTTGACATGCTTTTATATTCTAACTTTTCTTTTATCTTCAGTGGTTTTGTGAAGGCTTCACATGATTTAAACGTATAGCCTATATCCATCTGATTTAAATTATTGAGCTAATGAAAACAATGAAGTAACGGACAATTATGGTGACTTAGTTCTGTAATTTCCAGTAATAACTAGGAATAATTCCATACAGAAAGTGACTCAAACCTATCACACCATGCAGCAAGCACAGTGCTTCCGAGTTCATCAATAAGATTTGAGACATACTGTACATAAACAAGCAAAAGTCTATCTAATAGCATGTATATTACTGTGAATGAGCACTGATAAAATGCCTCAAATTACAATAAGAAAAATCGCCAACATCTTCCTGGTCGTTAGCAGTTTTCTTGATAGTATAACGCTCTTGTAAAAATTGCTGGAAATGAATTTAATTTAATTCATGAATATAGCTGCACTCACAAATTTAGATAAACCAAGATCAACATTATTTACAAAATAGGCTGAACTTGCTTCGTTTAACCTAATCTAATCTGAAGCTTGATTGCTCGATTTTGTATCTATAAACTAATTCGGACATCTTAGAGTAGAGCATATAAAAAATTATGAGTCTTTAACAATATATTTACTAACAAGAATAATTTAAGCTCATTAACTCATTGGGTCATATATAGTGTGAATAAAATCATGGACTATCAATAATTTAGTCAATAAATATATTATCAGCATAGGGATTTGTGGAGACTGTAGTATTTTCACAGTTGAAATCACTAGTCGATTTAAACTAGATCACAACGAAAACCTGATAGCACCGAACGGCCGTTTCGTCCGAGTATGGGATTCCTCAAGTGTGCGCAGCCAAAAACCCGTAAGCAGAACTAGAACTAAAGACCTTCGGTCTCGCGTGAAAATATCACAATCTCTACAAATCCTTAAACTTATAACAATCTTGCGCTTACTAGTGATTAGGTTAAAGATGTAATTCCTGGAGTTATATCGAGCAATTGTAACCAGCGGAGTACAATCCCTGCCGGGTATGAGTCACATCTGCCTTAGGTGATAAACGAAGGGTTGCGTAAGATCATGGAGTGATTAATGTCTGACATTAACACCATCGTATGCCAGCTCAGTGTTCTAGAATTTAGGCATTCACGCGCAAGACCGAAGGCCCTGGGTTCGAATTCCATGTGCGATACCGTGGAAGTGCACTGCTAAGAAGTTCCATACCAGGACAGAACGGCTGTCCAGTGCTTCTAGGTTCTTAATGGTGGTTTGGTATAGATCAAGTCGTTACTACAACTATGAAAATAATTATTTGTTAATCTTCTGACTTAGACTATCATATAACAAATAATTTGGATTGAAATAAAATTATATAGTGATTAGCATAGTTCATGGTCGATATAATTGACTTTTGATTCGTTAACTCATGTAATAGAAAGTGAATAACTTTATTTAGCTTTAATTTAAAATAGAGTTCAGTTAAGTGATTACATAGTTGAACTCACATTGCTTGATTTTAATTAAAAACCATCGAAAATTAGTGAGTGGTAATGAATGAAAATTCATTAATTAGTTCCAATTTAAAATTTTATTAAATGTAGATTAAATTCAGCTACTTATTTGTACAATAAGGTGATACTTCACATAAATAAATTTTAATGATAAGGACTGAGTAGAATGTAATGGTATAAGAACAGTTTATGGAAACACTTTACATATATATAGAATAGTATAGTATAGTATATCTTTTACTAGAATAAAATCATTGCGACGTATCAGCTAAAAGCATCCAAAAAACACTTGCCATAAAATAATAAACAACACTAACATTTACCACCCAAAAATATGTTGCTTTGAAGCCATGTATCGAATGTAAAATAAACTAAAAAAATGATCAGCCAAATATGTCAAATTGTGAATTCAGGGTTAAATTATCATTTACGCTGGTTATATTTTTATTCACTGATTACTGAGTATTAGAAAATGTCACAGTTTCGAAATTCTAAATTCTGATCCAAGTCTATGGACTACGTTACAATACATCCACTAGTCTAAATAATTTGGTATCATGTGCACCATGTTTTGATGTAAGGTGGTTGATGGTGGTCAATATGAATCCATGGATCAAATTTTCGTGTTAGTTAGCACTTAACAACCTGGTATACTTGCAATCTTCAGATGATTATTTCTCCACACCCCCTGATGTACACAATCTGAGACGTCACAATTGAGCTATTCGAGCTGCTACTGATTTTCTATAGAATTGAGTAGTAACCGATATCATGTTTGCCATACATATGAAAGGACTATAAACCCATAAAATAGTGCATTAAAAAACTAATCTTCATTAAAAAATTATTTGTTCATCTGTCACTTTTAATCACGGAACTAGCTAAAATGAAATAATAAGAAAAACTTTGTCAGTTTGTATAGCTTCACGAATAAAAAAGAGCATAAAATATCTTAGATATTTTTTGATTAGTTCTTTAGTTTTATTTTACAAGCATAATTCATATTTAAAGTTGACCACAACGAGTGAATCATTGAAGGATCATTGTAACCATGAATACTGATAAATTGTAATTGTTTAAGGGTTTGCTTATCTAAACTATGTTCTGTATAAATATTTTTTAAATGAATAGGACTAATACCAAATTTCAATAGTATCATTCCTAATAGGATATCATCATATGGAATATTTGTAACATAGTTAAATCCAACACGTAATAATTGAACAACAGGCATACTTAATATAATTGTTCCACTAATTATATATGGTGGATACATATAGAATGGATAATTTGATAATGACATATATTTAGGCAAGAACGGGATACGTACTGGATAAGAGATACGTTTTACATGACCGGATGCATAAATTCTATATTGACTAAGTGTAATACGACGTAATAATTGTATTAAATTTATTGGATGTAAAAAAGTATCATCATCTAGAAATAGAGTAAAAGATTTTTCAGTAATCATACAATATTTTACAATAAAATCAATACTACCAATCCATTTATTCAATAAATTAGAATCATTATCAATAAAGTCAAATTGTATAATATCACGATGCATAAAATGCTCATAGTGTAGCATTTGTAATACTCCAATGTTACCCCCACTATTGTCATGATGAATATTTTTATTTTGCATAGAATAATTTAATACATTATCATTATTGTCGTCTTGTTTGCCTAAAATAAATAGAATACGAATAAACACACCAAAATTTCCATAACATTGTTGATTTCCCCATGTTTGACGAATAGCATCTCGTTGATTGAAATTATTTACATGTGATCGAATGACTAATAGTATATCAAGAGTTTGACATTTTGACGACTGAAATAATAAGGAATCATTATTATTATTATTATTATTACTATTGCATTTATAATGTTTAATTAGACATTGTTCTGTATAATTAGAAGTTAGAGGAAACGTTATTTTCCATAATGGTGGTAAACTTGAATTAATTTGTAATTTTTCTTTTTCATAAATTTGATACAAATTAATATTTGGAGGATAATGAAATAATTGATAATCCTCTTGCATATAAAATTTAATCAATAAAGGAACAACTAATAGCCAAGTTATAGTAAGCATAATGTTACAAAGAAATGTGTGTTTTCTTGAACATGAACGACAGTTTACATAACTGAATAAATAACTGACAGTATATATTCGCATAATGATTATTGAACAGAATATTTTAGTTCAGCAACTGAGTGTCTTCATTACTAAATGAGTAAAATGAAATGAATCGACAAAATAAAAAAATATAATGAAGCTTAAAAAAATAAAAACACTTGAAACAAACACAAAATCTGGACACATTAAATTAAACCATTCTATTGTAAATGGAAGAAATAAAAGGATTGTTCTCTTGGAAATAGGTCAGAGAATTTTGTGAGTTTCTTTCTGGATTTCACTTGTATTATCACTAAAAAAAACTCACTTAGTTACGCCTGATACCCCCCATGAAGGGGCATAGGCTGCTCACCAGTATTCTCTATCCAACTCTGTCCTGGTCAGTCCTTTCCAGTTGCTATTCATCCTTTTCATGTCTGCTTCCGATTCCCGACGCAATGTGTTCTTTGGTCTTCCACTTTTTCGTTTCCCTTCAGCATTTCAAGTTAGAGCTTGCCTTTAACCAGTTTGATGTTTTCTTCAATGTGTGTCCTATCCACTTCTAACGTCTTTTCCTAATTTCTTCCTCAGTTGGAAGTTAATTTGTTCTCTCCCACAGTAGGCTGTAACTGATGGTATCCAGTTAACGGACATTCAGTGTCTTACGTAGACAACTGTTAATAAATACTCGATGGTCGTAGCAGTTCTCCAAATTTCAACTCCATACAGCAAAACTGTCTTGACGTTCGTATTGAAGGTTCTCACTTTGATATTGGTTGGCAGTTGTTTCAAGTTCCGTATATTCTTCACCTGTAGGAATACGACCTTTGCTTTGCCAATTCTCGCCTTCACGTCTGCATCAGATCATCGATGTTCATCGATGATGGTGTCCAGATACGTGAACATTCACATCTCTTCCAGAGTTTCTTCATTAAGTGTGATTAAGTTGTTCTCTGGGTTATATTTGAGGATCTTGCATTTTACCTTGCGTATGTTGAAGCCTACTGTTGCAGAGGCTACTGCTACACTGTTTGTCTTGACCTGCATTTATTGATATGTATGGGATAGAAGGGTCAGGTCATCTTCGAAGTCCAAATTGTCTAGTTGCATCCAACCTGTCCAGTTTATTCCGTGCTGCGTGTCAGATGTCTATGTCTTCATAATCCGGTCGACCACCAGAGGAAAAAGAAAGACGAGGAGTAGGCAACCTTGTATAACTCAGGTCTTTACTTGGAATGCATCTGTCAGCTGCCCTCCATGCATGACTTTGCAATGTAGTCCGTCGTATAAATTCCGGATGACGTTGACGATTTTCTCAGGTACTCCACAGCGTCAAATAAGTTTCCATAAGATTCCTATCCACGCTGTAAAATACTTCCTCAAAATCAAGGAAGTTGATGTTTAGTAACGAGCTTCATTCAATTAATTGTTTAACGATGAACCGTAGTTTCGCGATTTCGTCTGTGTATAACTGATCCTTACGGAATCCAGCCTTTTGGTCTCGAAGTCGGACGCCTACTGGATTTTGTCTGATTTGTCTGATGGCCACCCTGATTTCTTCGACCGTTGGTGGAGTGACATCTGTCGAGAGGTTTGTGTGTCTTGCTTCGATGTCCGGTCCATTCAAGAGTTCCTCGAAGTATCCTAGCCACCTGTTCCCCTGTTCTTGAATCTCGGTGATTGTCTTGCCTTCTTTGTCCTTGACTGGTCTCTTTGGTTTACTATATTCCCCTTCTAGCTTTTTCATTGAGTCTTATAGCTGTCTCATATTTCCCTCTGTAGCAGTTTTTTCCGTTGTCGTTGCTTGCTCTTCCATGTATTTCTGCTTGTCGGCTTCAATGTTCTTCTTCACTTGCTTGTTTGCTTCTGTGTGTTCACCTTTGTGCCTTGACTTTCTCTGCTCTTGTTCGGCTATTCTTAATTGCTGTCTTCTTGTTCTTTCTCTTTTGAATCTTGTTCAAAGTTGTCACAGAGATTCATTCCTTATGATACTTCTTGCGGCCCAGAACCACCTGACACGTTGAAGTTAATGCTTTTTGATACCCCTCCACTTGTCCTCAATGGCAGCTTCTTCTTTCAGTAGATCCTGTAGGGCCTGAGATCTGTTGTTGTGAGCTATCTTGAATTCTTTGAGTTTGTTCGTATCTCGAAGGAAGGCTGTATTGAACCATTGTAATGCTGTTCCCCCAGTTGTCCGGCGTATCTTTAGCTTTAGTTTCATCTTGGTAATCACCGATCGGTGCCGACCAAAGACTATGCCAGCTCTTCTCCTGGTTCTCACGTCTTTCATTGTTCTTCTGAACTTTTAATTGATACCAATGTGATCTACCTAGTTCTTCGTGGTGTGGTCTGGTGAGATGCATGTAGTTTGTGTATGTGTTTATGTTGAAATATTGTGACACCTATAACCAATTTGTAAAATGCGCATTGATTTGCAAATATTTTGCCATTTCGATTATTTTCTCCCAGTCCATGTCATCCATGATATCCTCATAACCGTTGCATTCCTTTCCGACTTTGGCATTTAGATCTAACGTCAGAATTATCAGGACCGTTCCTGAGTACTTCGCCATGATCGATTGCAACCTATCGAAGTACTGATCTTTATCGTTGTCATTGCTATCATTGATGGGTGCATAACATTAGACGACACTCATTGTGATTCCCTTCTTCTTTTCTCTGAAGTATAGTTTAATTTCCTGGATCAGTGAGATTTCCATTCTATAAGTGCATTACGTGTCTAGTTTGGACAGCATCAGAGTAACTCCCTGAGTGTATAGAGCATTTTCCTCTTCGTGACAGGAGTACGGTAGCATCTCTCCTGTATCTAGCATTTGCTGTCCAAATTAGGTTCAACGAGTTCCGCTTATTTTCAGTACTGCCAAGTTGTATCTCCTTATTCCTGTCGAAATGTGACTGGTCCTCGAGGTCTCCTTCACTGTCCAGACGTTCCATATCACCTATATAAATATTTGCTCTGGTTGTTAGAATGGGCAATGGTCTTGTTAGCTCCAAAAAATCTCGGCTTTCATTACGAGGCGTCGTGATTTTTTCTTCAACTCAAAGGGCAGAGTTTAAATGGTTTAAATTGTTTTTTCTGGTTAGCGTCTTTTAGGAAAGTTGTTTTCTGCGGGTTGGGGTTTCCGATCCCATGCCCAACCCTCCTCCTTTACCTGGGCTTGGGACCAACAGTAGCCCTAGAACAGCTAAAAGTAGAGTTACTAAAGAATCTTAGAAGAAAACATGTATCTAATGAATTTTGATATTTATTGATTAAAATATGATGAACACTTTATTTACAAAAATTCTTCAATTCGGTAATGTATATTGAATACTACACAGTTAATTGATTATAATATAAGTGAATATTTTCAAACTGTGATATACTTGGCGTTAAAACTTTCATTGACAGAAAGTTAAGTTTATCCAAAAACACCAATGTTCATAATGAAAGTGTTTATATTATAAGATGAACATTTAATAACTACTGATTGGTAATATGTGACCTCAAAACAATTTCTATCATTTAATAATTAATAAAATTTATCATTACAGCTATATATTAGATGAGGAATTATTAAAAATCTTGAAGTAAAAAATAGATATTTAATTTCTGTTTGATGGTCCTCAATGGTGTTTATTCAAAACATATTTGATCGAGTTCACAATTTTCATGCATCATGGTGATTACGATACCAAAAAACCGCTAAGTCGGAATTCGCCATTTGAAATTAAAAATTTACATCGATTTGTGTTATAGTGCAGCCTAAATCTAATTTTGTTAGTAAGCACATCTCATACCCTCAACTTGGCTATTTCCAAGGGCCCTTATTTTAACTCTGGAAAAGCTGTCCTTAAGTGAGTCATCAATCTATCACTAATTAATGTATGATTTTGTTAAGTTAAGCAGTTTACTAAGAATTGATCTGACATATAAACCATTCACATCAGGAACCGACACCATCTGTGGGACCAGTTAAGCATGCTAAATATCTACTCTCAAGCTGTATGAAATCTCCTCATGACCATCTAAGCAAATAAGTGCATAGTGATATTCAGCGATATAGGTGTATTCGCTATATGACGAAATACTTTAAACAAGGAAACAGATTGGCTGATAAAGCTTATCATGTTTGATACGTTATTCCTTGTTGCAAGACCACAAGAATGATGATAACTTTAATCGTTGGATAAATATTTATGAGATGGTGGAGAAGATTTGTAGCTCAGGTGGATGATAAATAAATATTTATGTTCGAAGATAGTACCCAATAACGAGTTCTAGTTGATAGAGATTTCAGATTCATGGCTTTTCGATAAATACTTCTATCTGACTGTACAAAAAGTACCCAAAATATATATATCAAATTATCTACATCTATTTGTAATTATATTACATCGTTTATAACTGTTAATGATCAGGAGATCAGGACCCCTTAGTCCATTGACTGATAGTACAACAACATAAAACAACTATAATTTTACAGAATGACTCTTTCATCATTCTACACTTCCATTCTCCTATAGATTTCCTATTTTGTACAAAGATTCTAACATTTTTAATCAAAATTAGACAATCAAAAAAAATTCACTATGGATAAATCTGAAATATCCAACTTTAATAAAAATAATCACACAACTTGGTGGTTTTATTTCTAACGCTGGGAGAGGTGCTCATCATATTGTGTATTAATTATAAACTAAAAAGAAACATTTGAATTATTCTTCATATTTTAACATTCACCTATCAAAGTGATATCATATTTGCAATGAGAACTGTCAGTTTAAGTAGAAGAGTTGTCAACGTATTTTATAGATTGACGAAGTTTAAAATTTTTCTATCATATTCCAAGTTTCTTATCATTAGAATTAAGTTTAGTTTTAAAACATACATAGTTTTAATATAATGTATTTTAATTAGTTCACTAAGCCATGATTATCATGTGTCACTTGATTATCAATCCTAGTTCTACAATAATCTTTGGTTGCTAAGAAAACTCACAGTGAATTGTACATTGTCTGTCATATTTTTTGTATAGAACAATGTAATCATTCGTTTTCTTCAACCAGGTCTGTTATGAGATAGTAACTCACTGATAACAATGATGGA